AGCACAATGGGCAGAAAGGCGGACATGTCTGTGCCCTCGTTCTACTGGGTGATGTTAAGCGTGAAGGACAAACATTCCCCCCAAACAAGCTGTGTTTTTCGTTTCAGGGCTGGTTTGTCGTGTGTGTGTGTGTGTGTGTGTGTGCAGACACTGGCATTTCACATTAGCTAAGCAGGGCGGCTGCATTGATTTGTGTGACTGTGATGAATTTGGAATAGTAATTTGAATTTATTGATTGATGTGGGCGACCGAGTATGGCCCAGCCTCACTTTCAGGACCACCCCTCCTCTCCTCCTCCCCTCCTCCCACTCTCCATCCCACATGCGGACAGCGGGTAATGACGATTTTAAATGCAATAAGTAAAATGTTGACCCGTGCATTTACATGCAAGCATTCGTCATTTCGGGCAGATTAATACGGAATAAACAGCACTAGCAGAAAACAAGTCGTTTGTTAAAATAAAAACGGACATGTTGCAAATGTGTGATTGAAAATGTTTAAATACATGGAGCTTTTTTTTTTTTAATTTCCTGCAACTGGGCAAATCTATGTAATCGCATTCAGACGCGCGCACGCGCTCCTTTGGGCCTTAACACACCAAAATATACAGTAGAACATGCACTGTATATAGTGAGCCACACTAACATGTGAGCAGACCTGGGTGGAGGTGCTGCTGTGTGTGGGGTGTACACTGATGCCGGGTGTGGAAGATATAAAACCCCTCGGCCTAATTAGCTTTAACAGCAGTGGCACTTAAGGAGACAATTGTGGAGTGTTTAAATCTTTATTTACCAGAACCCCACTAAATGCGCAAAGGAACAATTTACATGCCATTAAGTGCTTTTCAATAGGGCATTGACTGGAACTAAAATATGCCACTATATCTGCTTAATTGAACCGTTCTCTGAAATACGACACAGAAGAGCTGATTGACGTCTGGGCGAACGGTGGGTCTGAACAGCGGCCTTTATACAAACATCGATGAGAGGGGACACCTCTCTCTCTCTCTCCCTCTCTCTCTCACACACATCTCTGTTTTAACCCTATTGCCACGATTTCATTTACGTCCTGTTAAACAGGCTGTAAGTGTTAAAGGGTTTAAAGGGGGGCGTGGTGTGGGTCCACATAACAGTTAGTTGGATAATATTTAAGGACCACAGAGATAACCCATTCAGAAGCCCAGAACGTTGTGATTGCCTGTGTTGGAGGAACACATTGTGTTACAGATGATGTCTGATTAAAAAAGAGGGGATGTTGTATTTATACTATCTCAGCAGTGGGGGAAACTGTGGGGGAAACCGGCCCCAAACTCTCTTCTTGGAGACATGATATCGCAGAGTACATGTGGGAGATAATAGAGGCCAGAGAAAGACGCATCTGTTTGTGTCTCTCTCGGATCCAAATCGATCATTTATTAGTGTGCTACTCTGAAAGAGGACCCCTGGACCTGGAGTATCGATTCATGGGGGGTCTTGCTCACCATATTCCTTGGCCTGGCCTTAGAAAACCGTCGTTTACGAGAAGTGTCATAAAATGATATTAGTTTTGATTTGAACAAATTAAATTGGGGTCATGTCTTAAAACTAAAAACAATGGTTTGAGAACACCAACAAATATCCTCGTCGTTTCCTTTTGTTTGGTCTCCTTTGTTTGTTGTTGAATTAATTTAGAAGACCAGTACACCGGGATGTGTGTGTGTGTGTGTGTGTGTGTGTGTGTTTAGCGAGCGTAAAACAGAACGTTTAGGTAAAGTTGCATTTGTACGTCACGGCCGCCGCTGTTTTGTTTATAGAACCTTCCCTGATACACAGCATGGATCTCAGCATCAATCAAAATATAGATTAGCCAAAACATTTAACACAACAACTGTCACTATGAAGTTTTACCCGATATAATCGACTAATAACTTCTAGTAATGTCTGTTTGAGCAGGTATTGACAGTCTCGCCACATTGACTTCAAATTGATCCCTCCACATCACTCGGGTTCGGCGCTGTCTCCTCACTCACCTGCGAGCCTGAGCGCTGACATCCTCTGGAACTCGGGCTCCTGCAGCCACTTCCACATCCTCCTGAAGGTCTCCCGGCCAGACTTGAGTTTACTCCACGGTTTAGGGTTCCGCAGCAGGTCTGACAGAGTTCCCTGGGACCGGCACAAGATCCTTTGAGCGAAGATGGCTTGGGGGATGCTGTAACGCTTCAACTCTGCTGTTATTCGCTGTGCCACCTCTTTGGTGTTTATCTCCTCCACCTGCCCTGACCCTGCTCCCTGCCCGCCTCCCACCACCGTCTGCCTGTCCCTGTCTGACAGCATGGACCCGTTTGCCTGAGAGTGCGGATGGCTGTGATGATGTATGCCGTTCAAGGAGCTCATGAGCCCGGCACCGTGGCCACCGAGACCCCGGGCCAGGTGCTCTTCGCCCCGGGACAGCATGGCTGCGTGGGACTCAAAGCCCCCCGAGGAGAGCATCTTATCGTTGGAGAGATGAGCCCCTGCAGGGCCGTAGGCGCTGAGAGTCTGCTGGGAGCTGTGCAAAGACCCCAGACCGTTTGACAGAGGGGACAGAGGCTGCCCCATGCCGGACATATCTTTAGGATAGTGGCCATAAAGGTTACCCATAGACGCGAGACTTCGGTCGTCCCTCATTAGGGTAAAGCTGCCGCTGACGTTCCCGGCAGTGAGTCGCTGGTGGGCCGGATGATGGTGAGCATGTGGGTGTGGATGGTGAAATTTCTCCGACACAGTGGATATGGGGGGCAGGTGTTGCAGCGGCGTCAGCGGCGTGTAGGGGCTGCC